ACATGGCATTCTAAGCATTGACCCACGAGTACTCCATAGTGGGTGGTCTGTTTTTTCACACCATGTTGTAATCCATTGGTACTACGGAGTACATACGGAGTACATAGTAGAGTATACTTCATATTAGGGCTCAAAAGTCTTGGCGCGTCACGTCGCGTTACGCGAAACGCGCGACGCGTCAACGCGTTGAAAATTATGAATGCCACAATTCAGCCATTCCACCAGAATATTTACAAAGTCTAAGAGTATGATCATAGGCCAGTGTTCAAAGGTCCTATAGTCCTAGAGTCCTAGAGTCCTAGAGTCCTAGAGTCCTAGAGGGCTGGTATGACAGGGAACAAGTCTCCTAGGCTGGTGAAGGGTAGAAGCCTGTGGTAGGAGAACAGTAGAAAGGGAACCTCACCCTCTTTCAGATCATTATTAAAATACGACATCCCCCAGTGGCAAAGATGGAGATCAGGAGATCAAAAAAAAACACATCATCTAGCGCGTCTAACATCTAGGGCCGTGCTCAGATACTTGGTATGCAGCCCAACGCCATTGACATTGCAATACAATACAATCATGATCTTCAAGAAAATTCAAAGAAACTCAAAGGTCGATCTGTTGCCCAAATAGGAAATGTAATTGAAAAAAAGTGTCTCAGGGGTGCCTCGTGCCTGTTGTCCTCTCTTTGTATGCGCCTTGCATGTAATCCCTCTTGTCCTAGACTCCTTAGTATACTGTTTCACTGGAAGTTCTACACTTCTAAGTCCTTGAGTAGCTACAAGTATAATAGAAAGGTATCAAGGCCTTCATTCCTGGTTCTATCTAGTATTCCTATCATCACTCCTATAATCACTTTCGTTGACCCTTGAGACCTTTCTCATACACTCCATTCTTTTCCAACCGTTTCAAGTGTTTCAGCTATTTCTCAGCTATTTCTCAGCTATTTCAAGTGTTTCATTGTTCTTTTCAATTTCGAATCTGAAATCAAGAATAGATCACATTCTTTGACCTAAAATAAACTTGACGTTACACGGGGAGATCATTCGCTTGACCGTTTGCGGCCCCAATTTTCTTTTTATCGGCCTTTCCCCTCCAACTTCTTCCCTACAACTCACCAAAACATTCATATCACCAACTTGCTGTCGCATCCCCCGGAAAAGGTGCAAATCGAAGCGCATTTCAACGACAAGATCATCCATTCATTTTCGCATCCTCAACCCCCTTGTCGCGCATCGCAACCGCCTCCGGCGCAATCGCAGCCTACCCACAAATCGCGCGACCGCGCAACAACTCGTTGACTCTCTCTCTCTTGGATATCATTCATCTTCAAACCAACTTCAAATCGCTCAAATCGCGCAATTAAATTTATATCTACAAATCATGCTTCTCCCATCCGCCCTCCCATGCGAAGTGCGCCGGTCGTCTCGCTTCACACCCAGTCGCCAATTCTCAACTCCTCCCCCATCCGACACAGGATTTCCATCAGGCAACGGTCTCCTCGGCACCTGCCGCGCACTACAGTCTCTACTCAACAGATCACCCACGCCTTCATCACGATCAGTGAAATCCCAACGCCTCCAGAGCCCTCTCCCTTTCAACACACCCCGTCGCTCGCCGCGATCGCAAAAAACCGCGCGCCCAGTCTCTCCTAGACAAACACCACCACCCAGAACCGCCGCTCTCTCACCACCCCCTCCTCCTTCCGCCCCCGCGCGCGGCGCAAACAAGCGCCGCCGCGACATTTTCGATGACGATGACAGCGACGCGGAGATGAGTCGCCCACGCAACCGCTTCGCGACTCCCAAACGCCGCCGTCACGTTCCCTACAACATGCCTCTCGGCCTTTCTTCCACAGACTTTTACTCTCTACACTCTCCTCCTGTCACCCAATCTCCTCCCTCTCCTCCTCGTCGCCAGATGGATTATGACATCCCGGCTGGCTCATGCGTTAATCCAGACGCGCCTCTGCCCTCCATCGAGGTGACAGAGGAACACACTCCTTCGGTTCCACAAGACTGGACCCCGCAAGAAGACCAACGCCTTCTCGAGCTGGTCCTTGAGAAATTTAGCCTCTCCCAACAAGAATGGGATGAGTGCGCGCGCCAAATGGGCCGCAGCCACGTTGGGCCTAGGTGGCAGTCCCTCGTTGGTGAGGGTCGTGTCGGCCTGCGCCCACATCGCCGTTGAATATTGCTTCTGGCAATTATTCCTGTCTTTTATTAATGTATTATATGATCCCTGTACCACCCTGTGACTGACCCTATTCCCATTTGTCAAAACACCCCTGTATTATCATATCTTCTTGTATCTGTTGTTTATTTTCTCGGTTTGTTGTCGATTGACCAGCACAAATTGCTTTCTTTTTGCTTTTTCCGGTGTTATGAGTTCCGTTCTACTCGGGCTATGTGAATATGCTTCTGTTTCTTTTTTCCTGCTCATAAAGTGTTCTTTCTGTGTGACTTACTTTTCCACACCTGCTGTTTGTTTGGGAATTGTACTACTATCTACTACTACCAACTTGACCTAGATTTTTCATTATCATTATCTATTACTCCCAACTATAAGAAAGTAGACGTATATCTTGACTATCGCTCAATGCATGGTAGTTACAATCGTCTCATCGTATTTATATTGTTTGTGACTAACCGGCTCTCTCGACTCAGTAGGTAGAGCCAAGCTTCTATCTGAGCTTATGAGGCCTGGGATAGATATGCCTAGAGCAGAGCTAAAAACCTGCTATTATCCACCTTCGAATTTTTGCCATGGTTCTGAATATCCCTAGCACTCAACATCAAACTCACCTACAATCACATATTCAAGGTACGGGAAATGAGAAATTGGATATTTGTGAAAAATCCAGTATGTATATGGCTCCATCCAACGCCAGACACCAATTGTGCTGCGCAAAGTAAAATTAACATGAAACTGGACTCAGGTCCATTGATATCAACACTATTCGTTGGAATTCTCTCCCACACGAACCAAAATCATCTCGAAATTTGGAGAATGATCAGAATCTAAATGAAGAGATTTGAGTTAGCGACAAAAACCATACCACCAGCGGAAAGATAAAAGATAAAACACATACCGAATCTCATAGCTCCCTGCGCGGGTCATGTAGCGCACCCACTTGACAGAGCTATAGTTATTCTTCTCAAAGACCTTAAGATAGCGCACCAGCAAACCAGAAGAGGTAAACATGAGCAAACTAAACGAAAGACTCAATGGCGGACGACTCCAAGCTTTCTGATGCGTCATAGTCGTAAGCGTTGCCTCCGCATTAAGCACGTACTCCGACTGTCCAGAGAAACGCGCAATCTTCCAGACAATATTGTTCTGCTCCGGTTCATACTTGGCGCGGCCCTGGCTCGTGCGCTCCGTAGTCTTGGCAGTATTAAGCGGCGTGGGGATACGAATAACCACATTTGTAGCGAAGAGCTTGGAGCTGTAATTCGCTTTGATAGCAACACTGTATTCGACCTTTGTAGTACCGATCTCGCGCACAATCGGGTGCACCTTGAAAGGCAAGTTGACGTTCTCTGTGGCGCGGTAGCGCATCAGCTCGAACTCGCCGTCCGGCGGCACGAAGGAGATGATGCGGTCTGCGTCGAAACGGCCCAGCTTCACGCACTGGTGGAACTGACAGTCTTCCAGCGTGACGGAGCCTGCCGCAGCGCGCGTGGTCTTTGATGTGCTGAGTCCGTTACCACCGCCAGGGTTATTCATGTTGCTGGAGGTCTCGCCGCTGTCTAGAAGGAGACGGTCGTTCAGGCCGAATTTGCATTCTGGGGTGCCGGTGAGGTAGGCGCGCATGACGATCTGGCCGTTAACGTCGGCGCGGAGGACGGTGCCTGTTGCGGACATCAAGAGATTGACATCTTCGATTACGTCGACGAAGGCTTCGTTTTTGCGGTATTTTATGTCGGAGCGGCGCCAGGAGATAGCACCAGTTGCTTGTTGGGTAATTCGGGAGGAGTCTGTTGGGTTGTTGGTGATGGCGGATTTAACGCCTTCGGTTGTGATGTACATTTTCAGGGTATCTGGATCGGTGTTCTGGGGGTATCCAAAGTCGAGGATTTCTGTATCATCAATCGTTAGGGTCTGCTTGTAGGGAATTGGGCCCTTTCCATCTCTTACCATCGAGCAGCTCGTAAATCAGGACAAAATTGTTCTTCACGGCCTCCTCGTCGAGTTTCCCGAAATAGCTCTTGCCCAGCATGACCAGCCGGTAGAGGAACTCGAAGACCAGCGCGGCATTGGCATTGCTCTTGGTCACAGCTACCAAGTAGATGTTTTCGTGCTTGACATGGCTGAAGGTCGTCGAGCCCAAGGTCAGGATCGGCGAGCGCACCTGGGGATTGGAGATGACTTGGATGCGGAAGATGTCGGCTAGTCGCGGACGACAATCGCTGCGGAAGGCGCGAAAAATGAGGTTTTCGCCCTTCTGGTTAAATATGAGGACCCCCGAGAGCATATTGTTGTGATTAGTCGAATTGCTCCTGGGGATGGAAGTTGGAGAGCTGCGGAAACAGGGGTGGGGGGTGGATCGACACCGCCTGAGGTATAAAAGGAGGTCAACTCCAGTGGATGATCCAACTATGTTGTACTCCATACATACTCTGAAATCTGCTAATGTCCTAAAAATCTGAAAAGAAAAGAACTGAAAGAACTGACAAGAGTGGGATCTTCAGTTTAAAATTATGTGACCTCTACGTTGTTTTCTCGGAGTATTCGTAGCCTTGAAGCCATATAAATGTGCATTATAAAGCAAAAGGTAGGCTACTTCTCCCTTTTTCATCCACTAAATTCCATCTCCTGTATCAAACCTAGTTCTTTTAAATTCCCAACAATATCCGACAAGGGCTACATCGCATGTAGCTGGACATCCTACTGAGAACTCTGGGATACTCTCAGCCTTAACCTTCACCATCTACCGCTAAAAGTTTTAGTTAAAGCAGCGCCTACCAAATGCAAGCCCTATGTTTTCAGTCATTGCGACCTCAATCTAGGCAATGCCATGGTCCAAGATGGGAGGGTCGTTGGTATACTTGACTGGGAGTATGCTGCCTATTTTCCTATCTGGTATGGATATCTCGGCCTCTCTCGGTTTTACAGATATGGACGTTGAATGGATGAGTTTGCTGCAAGAGCGCTTAGGCGCACACGGCGAGGGGTATGAAGATGCCAAGGCATTTTGGAAGGATATGTGTAATCTAAGACGGTATCTGGATTTGGATGAGAAGGGTCAGGAAACATTGAAGAGACTATCTTAGATCAGTGACTTAATAGATCCATGGTGGACTATACCCGGAACCCGGAATTGAGCTTGATATACATGCTTACTTGTTGCGTTGGTATTCTCGCCTAATGTATGGCTTGTCGTGATGGATACCAGAAAATGCAGTAGAAGGCATCCCATTCAGACAAAGCAAACATAAGACATATATATGATTACCATATGAACCATAGGCTGTTCTACTTCTATTAAACATCAAGGTGAAATGAGCGTTAAAGCGGAGAGAAAGCAAATCCGCGATATAATTCTTTTGAGAATGCCAACAAGTCTAAAGGTTAGAATGCAGTGTGCCAGCCGGATATGGACAAAGAGGCATGGCCAAGATGACAATAAGAAATCAGGGTAAAGTAGCCCCTAGGGGAATCAACAGGGATATGTAGACGAAGCTAACAGAAGAAATATGAAAGAAAGGTATCAGATCACAACAAGATTAAAAGGAAGCCTCGAACTCGAAAGGCGAAGGTATATAAGGAAAGATCCGGTGTCGAAAAAAACAGCCGCGGGATGGATATCATGCAGAGGTCCCAAGAAGGGAACAAATCACAAAGATGTACAATCAGAAAGCAAAATGGAAAAAACGGCGCACTCCAGTCCGACAAAAACCCCATCAAGACCCAGCCCCAATACCAGTACTCGGCCTGGTATTAGGAGCCGAAGGTGCCTCACTGGGTACGATGCCAACCTTGGGATCAGGAATCTGGATATCAAGCGACATATATGCCGTCCGCCTCAAGCTCCAGATATGAACACCATCCTTGGCGCCGACCTCACGGTTCCAAGTCTCCAACCAAGCCTCAACATGCTGTAGTTGGCTTTTTGTCGCGGGGGCATTGAGATCATCCCATACCCAGCCAGTCAACAAACCCATTGCACCATCGAACCAATTGCGAAAACTGAACGGGTCAAATGCCTTGATAATGCCATCATTGACGGTAGAAATCACCCGTCGAAACTCCTGCTCCGACAACAACGGATCAAGAATCTCAGGATACAGATTCGAAAACGTCGGCGCCAAATCACCCTTAATCATCCAATCGCGCCGGATCCGAATCACACGTGTCGCCATATGCTCCCTCGACCCGATAGGCACATGGGGATTAATATGCGGGAAACAAGGGTGAGCCGGGCCCCAAGCGAGCTCCTCAGCGACATCCGCGTGCGGCTGACCAGTATGTGAAGGGACCGAAGCGATCTGAGACTGAGAGCGGAGAGAAGTTTGTGACTGAGCGTGGCGGGGACGGTCGTTTTGACGAGTTCCGTTCTGTGTGAGGTGAACAGCTTCGGGGGGACGCAAGTTCTCCGTTTCGCGCGCAGCGCTGCCCGAGAATGCGGCTGCCATTTCTGTGAATTCTTCGCTGCGACGGTGTCGTCTAGGCAGGGCAATGCTAGTACGGCCACTTTCTGTTTCCCCCTGGCTGCGCTCGACGAGTAGGCTGCTCGGGGACGGGGTTAAGCGGCTGCGGCGTCGCTCTGGGACGCTGAGGAGGGGGTGAGCGTCGCGTGAGTGGCCGAAGCCTAGTGGGAGACTCTCGTCTGATTGGTGGGGGCGGACAGTTATTGGGGTTATTCGTGGGACGTGGTTGACTGGGTTTGCTAGTCGGACTGCTGGTGGGCGGAGGAGCGACGGCGGGCCTGAGATCGGGACGCACTGTCGCCGCTGGGCGCGAACGAATGACGGAGTTGACTCCACGGGGGCGCGATTGGCTGGAGGCTGGGGTAGGAATTGTTGACCGCGTGGATAACAGTAGGCTTCTTCCTCCCTCGATTGAGGTCTGGGGGAGTTTAAGGACGCCGTTTTGAGGGGAGAAAGGAGAGGGGGAGAATTGGAGTGGAGATGGAGGCCGGGCCAGGAAAAAGTGCCCTATGTGGACATGCAACAAATGAGTGTAAGAAATAAGATTAAAAAACAATTAGAGGGATAAGAAAGGAGGTTTGAATTTGTCGGTGAAATTTGAGGTGAAATTCGTGTAATCCTTGTAAATCCGTATATCAGAAGCTTGCTTGGCGTATATAATGGGCGTATATAATGTTGACTCTGGCTAAATGACAGAAAAAATAGAAAATTGGACATGAAAAAGGATTCTATATCTTATATCAAGGTGACAATGACTCGAAAGGGATACACATCCAATAATGTTAATAAAATATATGCGAGTCGTTTGCCCCCAGTTTCACTGTGATTAATCCACCGTCCCTTGTTTCATCTTGGCTTTTATTGGGTATAGTATGCACACTCTAGCAAACGCTAATCGAGGTACTATTGCTATTATCAATGACGAACTGCATTTTAATTCAGGCCAAGTCTCGGTAGCGCTCGGTAAGACCGTCTTACTTGCTGCATAGACATGGATTGGGCAAAAATATGCATTATCAAATAGTAATTATAGACATGGATGCAATAAATACTTCATAAAGTCGTCGGAAAGACACATCGCCATGGCGTGTAATAACAACACCTGGTATATATATAAAAAATAATAAAAAATATAACAAATCAAAGGGTATCGAGTAAAATGAATGAACCAATGGGACTACAGCTTTCGATTCGCCGAAGCCTGCATACGTCGCATTGCCTGGCGATGTAGATCCGTCATGTTGCCACGCTGCATGCCGTCTGCAATGGCATCGCCCAGCTGAGCAGAGGAGGCGTCGCGCATCTGCTGCACAGGGTTCCATGTAGTGCGCCGGTCAGTGGGGCTGATCGGACTGAGGGGTCTAGACTGGAGAGTCGAAGGATCTTGCTTTAGGGTGATTTCCTCGCGGACAGATTGTCGCCACGCTGCCATTCTTGAAGCAGAACGGTTCAGCTCGTCGGCGGGAGCTGGTGGGGTATACGTTGGGGTTTGGGCAGCCTCCAGGTTGGCAAGACTTAATGCAGATGGGGACTGCACTGTCCGGCGCTGTAGTAGGGCGCGCCGCTTGGAAAGTGGGATGTCGTCCTCATTGGGTTGGATTTGTTTATGTTCTATCTCCGTTTCTTCGGGGATGGAGAGCGGAGGTGAAATTGGGGAGACGAGAGGCGCCATGTCAGGTAGGGACTGTCGGGATAGATTGCGTGCGGCCCAGGGATCGAAGCGGTTGGATGTTGAGGACATGCGGTTTCGGACCATATTCTCGCGGACTGCGAGGAGGGGAGGTGGTCCATTCCAGCGTGGTGATGGCTCTGCTTCTTTGGGCTCGTTGGCAGTAGTGATTGTCAACATGGGAGTCGATGTGTTGCGCCTCGCCATCATTCCCGGTTCCTGAGGGGGAAGTGGGCCAGAAGCTGAACGTAGGACGTTGACTGAAGCTGTCGAGTTGTTCCGGGTCAAATTTGGATCCGCTTTGGTGAGACCTTGCGTGCCTGTCCGTGTCTTCGATCGGGGAATATCCGGCGAGGGTACCGATGAGACGTAGGCAGGTTGTTGATTGTCCATATCATCAAATCCAGGCCTGTTCACGATTGGTGGTGGCTGTGCAGTGAGAGGTGTCTGGAGAAGACCGCCTACATCAACAATTGCCGCGGTCTCGTGAACCTCCTCTGAGTCTTCTACTTCAGGTTCAGGTTCGAACTCGATTGGCTCCATTTCAGGGGTGTCCGCATCGGCAAGATGCTTGGCCCATTCGTTCGTGCGGTACGAATGGATCACTCGTGATGTTTGCTCGGGGATGCATTTGACATTTGATGCATCCAGTTTCTTGAGCACCTTGATCTGTGGCTCAACCTTCGGCTCGGGCAAAGATACAACAGGCTCAGGGATGGGCTCGGCTTTGATAGTTTCAGCAGTAGAAGGTCGATCTTCATTACCATCCTCCACCTTTCCCCCTTCTGTATTGTTCAGAGGCGATGGCTCCAATGTAGCTGTGGGCTTGACTTCCTCGGTCTTCCTCGAAGCATCTGGAATGTCTGCTTCAACATCTGTTGCGGGAGTTTCTGGCGATTGGGGCTTCTCCGACGCTTCAGAGATGCCGGAATTCTCTAAAGGACTGTCGGCAACGGTGCTCTCGGGAGGAGATATCTGTTGGACAGTCTTGCTGACAGCAGTTTCTTCGGTGATCACTTTCTCGGCGTCTTTTTGGGCCGTGGTTGTATCGACATGGAGTCCGGTATCTTGGACAACTTGTGAGCCGGCATTCGACTTGATCTCCACGTCTGCGGATTCCTTCTCCGGAGCTATCTCGGCGTTAATTTCTCGTTGCACCTTTTCAACACCATCGTCAATATCAGCATCCGAGATAACGCTCGGGCAACCGACGCTCATCTCATGGAGATCATCGACAACTCCCAGTACAGAAGAACTGGCATCATCATGAGTCACTAGTCTCTCCTGGGACTCTGAAGCATTCGTCACACCATTGCTGTTCCGCCAAGAGAGCCGGTTCAACATTTCTCTGCCAGAGAACCGTTTCGAGCGCGGCGTACCAACCTCCGAACCGATGTCAGCACCGTTCTCAGAGGCGTCATCATTGGCCTCGCCAAGGACATGGGTGATAACAGGTGTAGTAGGTCTCGGCGTCTTTCCTTCAGGTTGACCCTCATTCTTAGCACCTTTTTCCTGGTCTGCTGATTCACCCTGCTGGGATGAATCTTCCTCCGGCACAGCCTCAAGTTCACGAGTATTGCTTTCACCCTGGTGGTTCTTCTCGTCGTCAGAGGCACTACCAGAAACATCCGGGCTCGGCATTTCCTTCAGTTCGATCTCACCCTCCTTGTCATTACCAGAGGAGTCGAACCCATCCGAGCCCCGTCGCGAGTCACCGACAGCAGTCTCCGAAACCGAGGCGGTTTTGCTATCGGCGGCCTTTCCATTTCCGTAAATGAGTTCCCATTCGGCACGCTCCTGGATATTCTTTTCCTCGAGGCGGCGACCGACTTCGGCATCTTCTTCTTCGATCTTTCGGGTGTGTTCTAGGCGAGATGCTTCTTCCCTAGCTCTGCGCTCCTTGATGAGATTCCAAAGTCTGATCTGGGAGATTACTCCCAGAACAGCAATAATG